CTACTAAAAAATCGTGAATCCGGATTTACTATCTATTACCTAAAGCTCAACATCTTTGGAATTAACGATGCAGTCTAGTGTAACGTTAAATTTTAACACTTTGTCTACGATTTAGCCGTTAATTTACCACTACTGTTACCGTTACAAATGCATATCCTGCATTTCTATTAACAATAGACAGTATTCTTATTCGGTACGTATTCTTAAAGGTAAAGAAATACTTTTGTCACAATAGATTCTTTATTCTAAGCATTCGTAATCTAATTGAAATTGATTGCTGTCGACGCTGAAACTATGTCAAAAGATACTGTTAATGTAAGGTGTGTATAAAGTCGAAAAGGCAATTATCAGAATATCATTACTGCTTGATATCAAGGTGATCAAAGTTTGAATTTGGAAACTAGTGGTTGCTATCCACAAAGCCTCATCCTCTGTCATTGTTATAATTATATTTTTTAAATTCTAACCAGAAATCTGGTCCCAAGTATTGATGTGTCGTGGTATGAAATCGTATCAAATATCAACATATCCAGGTATACTGAAATAAACCTCTGGACCATATTTCAAAATTCATAAATAACATGATGTATAAACCACAATTAATCTGAACATTAAATCGGAGCAGGATTTCCGCTCAGGTGCAGTAGTCTTGCACCTGGACGAGCCAAATTAATGTACAAAAAAATAGTTTTAGTTCTATAAAAGTCTAGATACTTAAATCGGACACATCTGATTTTTTTATATTTATAATTTTCAAAATATTTTAATTTATTTTTATATTCACATTTGAAATATTTTAATTTATAAATTAAAAATGTAAAATAATGTTGTTTGAAAGAATTTTTCAAAAATTAAAATATTTGGAATTCAATCTTAAAAAATGTAGCAGCATTAGTGAAATGAACTGCTCATCTTTAATTTCAAATGTAAACGTGCACTATGTTGAAAAAATATTTTGAATTATTTATTTTTATGCGTATATCTTCAGTTCGTGTACTCTCCCTACATTTATCTAATCAAATTTATAAAGGTTACGATAACCTTATACTCTAATAACAATTATCATACAGACTGAGACTACTAGGAATATTTAAATTGTGTGTACATATCTTATTCACTTATAAAATAAGCCTTTTCATAGCGGTACGAGTACGAGTAATAAATATTACTTTCTGGAAAAGTTTAACCATAAGAATGTTATCATTTATTAGCATCTTATATACAATACCATACGAGACATCTCATACGCGACAATCTCTTACTTTCACTCAATGTAACCTGATGTAAACGATATTATTTGAATAAATAAATATTCTTCGTTCGCTCAATCTTAATTTAAACTGATCGTGATGTTAGGACATCGTGACATTACTACCGAGTTCAAATGCCCGGTTGTATATATAATACAGATTTATTTTAGTCATATATATATAAATTGTCATATTTCCGAAAAGGCTCGACATCAGGCACGTAGTTTCTCAAGACTCTGGCCTGTACGCGTGCACTGCTGCGGGTCAATGGCGCAACGCGACCGCCACAGTGGACCAGGAGGCCCTCGATGAAGTCTTAGAAGGTACATACATTATATATGCACATTTTAGTAGTTGCAAACTTTGTCCAAACTCTGTTCAATCAATATCTTCATTATCGATTTTTTTTGTAATTTTATTTAAAGCCTAAAGAAATTTTTTGATTTTCAGATTATAACGATGGTTCTGGATATGTGTCCCATACACATTCTCCAGATGTAGTTCAATTTATGGAACTTTTGGGTGATAAAAATGTGAGTATTTTATTGCCAAATTTATTTAATAATAGATGTTGATAACGAATATAATTTTACAGGCAATCGAAGATATTCCCAAAAGTTTGGCACCAGAATTTACCAAACCAGAGTTGATGGTCGATAAAAAACGGGTATCTAAAGGCACTACTTATAAACTAGTATGCAACTCATACGGTAATTTTCACGAAAATACATTTTAATTGCAATTGAAAGAAAGGTACGATTTTCATGTCTTTTTTCCTTCCAGGAGTTCCTTTTCCGACTACGTCATGGTTCAAAGATAATAAAAACATAACAAATTCTAGTCCAAATAAACACAATAAATCCGACCAAGTATTAGTTATAGAAAAATTCAATGCAAAAGATGAAGGAACATATGTATGTAAATCTTGTAACTCGGCCGGATGCATAAGTCACTCTACAAAATTAGAAATTGCAGGTGCTGCACTAACGTTCAACTAATAATTTTATAGAATCATAAATTAGTTTTGTTATTATATCATACATTTATTGTGTTGTATTTTCAGACGTGGAAAATAATCCTGCACCTTTGTCGCAACACCCTGAATCCAGAAATGTAAGATAATTGACACAATTTGTTATCTATTTCTGTTACAACATATTAATTTTTTGTTCAAAATAGATGGTTCTACCTACTCGAGAAATTTCAACTTCAATGAGTCCTCCAGAATTTACAAAACCAGACAAGATGGTGCTGTTAGAAGTGAAACCTGCTGGAAACATGGTCAAAATAGTTTGCTCGGTTCACGGTAAGAAATATTAACCATTTAGTAAAATGGTTTAGCATTTTAACGTCGAATCCTATCTTGTTTGTCTATTTTTCTTTTAGGAAATCCTACCCCCAATATCACCTGGACAAGGGAAATGAGACCCACAGTCAGGAACCTCAGAGGTCTTTTGGAGTGTTGTTAAATATGGAAAAAAAATCAAGTTTTGATTATGGAAGAGTTGGTGGAAAGGATTCTGGATTTTATACATGTAAAGCGTGCAATGTTTCTTGGATGCGTCGAGCATACCACAAAACTCGAAGTTATTGGTGAGTGTTTATAGATAAACTATGTTTATGCATTCATCTATTTTTGGACCTGTAGAAAATTAAGCAATAATTTGTGAGATGAAGTCATATCTGCAATTAATCTCAAGAAATTGTGTGATTTAAGCATTTGAATTTTTTCGGCGCTTCTAGTTTATACATAATAAAAAATAATAAAAAAGCGGAAGTAAAACTTTTTAAACCCATTATTTTTATGCAAGTGTGTTTATTGGATATTAATAATTGCTTATACTGATTGTAAGACTTGGACAATAGGATCCTTACAATGTTTTTACGGTAATTTACATAACTTATCTCTATTTTTCTCAACTTCACTCGTTTTTAATTTTCTCGGAATCTTCATTGTTTTGCCCAATCACACTTTTCCAAGTTCTCTAATAAAGCATTCACCAATTTATGGGCCGACTCTGGGGTAAAGTAGACCAATGTTATGGAAAGGCTGTGTTCCGTTCTAGTTTTCATACAAAATGATAGTGGATACTGTCAAAACGATTTGTATTTGCTGTGCTATCAGATGCTTTACACGTAAAATACAACTTTACTCATATGTTATCAAGCCATATTTCAAAGATGCGGTTATGATAACATCGTTTTTTTGACATTAGTGCGTTTTCTAGGTTAGTTTTTTTTATGTAACGTCTGTTTGCATAGCAACCACATAGGATTTTGGCAGTTTTTAGTACCACTTTATATGAAAACTGCTACATAACATAGCCTTGCCATAAGATTGGTCTATTTTACGGTAGAATCGGCTCCTTAGTTCCCAAATCAAGCGTTCATAAAGAAGTTTTACTTCAACGGCATAAAAATAAGTATGAAATTTATACACTGCGTCTTATAATTTATAAATACAAAATATAAGCTGGATAAAATTATATAACAAAATTTTATATGTAATGTAATATGTACTTTGTAATTTAAATATCGCGCTATTTACCATCAGTGGCGTCTTCTCGCCACATGTATCCGCCATCTCAAATATATGAAACCAAATAACATTTGTTATAACTAGTAGTCCAGTCATTTGGTGCAAAAAAGGCTGTTGCCGGTACAGTACTCCGGGAATTCTGAAAATTGGTAATCTTATAGATTTCGAGGTGCTCTTTACGAAAATCAACCTTGCCACCTCAAATTTGAATGGCAAGTTGCCGCCATATTGAAAAAGTGGCGTCAAAAAACAGCTTTTTTAAAATATCTCCTTTCTGGCTGATTCTACGATAAAAGTATCTATGAATTAAACTAGATAAAATTTCCTACAATTCCTTAGAGAACCGTTTTTTTGTAAAATTGATAGTTTGAGAGTAGGGCCGCCTCAAAGTCTTTGCTGCTCTCGCCGTAGTATCAAATCTCTCCATATATGACAGCACTTCGAACTTGACCACATTCTCTCTAATAATTAATATTTTCAATGTTAAATTAAGCGAATAAGATCTAGAAATAAAATAATTCAAATATTTTTCGTTTTTTTTTGCTGATTTTTTAACACTTCAATGGCAAAGTAGCTATAAGTAAGTAGCTTGAAATAATTCAAATATTTTTCGTTTTTTTTGCTGATTTTTTAACTCTTCAATGGCAAAGTAGCTATAAGTAAGTAGCTTGAAGTGTTAAAAAATCAGCAAAAAAACAGAAAAATATTTGAATTATTTTATTTCTAGATCTTATTCGCTTAATTTAACATTGAAAATATTTATTTATTAGAAGCAATGTGGTCAAATTCAAAGTGCTGTCATAAATGGAAAGATTTGATACTACGGCGAGAGCAGCAAAGACTATGAGGCGGCCGTACTCTCAAACTATCAATTTTACAAAAAAACGGTTTTCTAAGGAATTGTAGGAAATTTTATCTAGTTTAATTCATAGATACTTTTATCGTAGAATCAGCCAGAAAAGAGATATTTTAAAAAAGCTGTTTTTTGACGCCACTTTTTCAATATGGCGGCAACTTGCTGTTCAAATTTGAGGTGGCAAAGTTGATTTTCGTAAAGAGCACCTCGAAATCTATAAGATTACCAATTTTCAGAATTCTAGGAGTACTGTACCAGCAAAACGACCAAATGACTGGACTATAGTGCTTTTTAAGGATTTGCATTTATTATTTTTGACCATAAACAATAATATTTAATTATTGCGCGAAATTAGAGCGTTACCCCTCGAAACCGTACATCCGCGAGGGATATCCGCGTAACGTAACCGCCGTCGAGAACGCGACGTACGTGTTCTTCGAATGTCCGCCGACGGCCGACCTGGAGCCGCACATGGCCTGGTACAGGACGCCCCTGGCGATGTTGCCTGATAGCGTCGAAACCTTACCAGAAAACGGAACCATTGTCGTTGGAGAGGAGCTGCAGGTACCCTAATGGTGAACGGCAATTCTGCGGGATGAAGGATTTTGGAGGCGTTGGGGTGTGGTAGACTTGCAGAATTAATAGAAAGAGCTTTTCACTTTGTATATGATTTAATATAATTAAAAGTATGGCATCTTGTATTAAGGAAAATTGCTGAAACTTCCTATGGCATCTTGTATTAAGGAAAATTGCTTATTTTTTTTTAAATAGTGTATAATTTTGATAGTTAATTTAAAGTTTTACAATATTTTGCAAATTTTGATAAAATTAGATATTCGAGAATTTTGAAATTTTTAAGAAATTAGATTTCTTTGAAAATTTTAAATCTTTTTTATATTTTGAAATTGTTTGAATATTTTGAATTCTTTTTAAGGGCACAACTAGTGTGAAATTTTCAAAAAATCGAATTTTTAATTTTTTCATATTTCGATATACCTTATAAAAAATAACATACTAAAATTTTAAATTGATATCTTAAATAGTTTTTGAGTTACAGCCATTTAAAGAGTATATATATAGTATATAGTATAACGATCATTTAATCTTTAAACGCGTTTTTCTCGATTTTTCCGAATTTGCTGCTGCGATTACTCAAAAACAAATGATCCGATCACTATCAATTTTTTTACATGTTCTATATACAGTTCTCCGTAAAATAAACTATCGATTTTTTGATCGGATCAAAAATTTGAATTTTAGCAGTCCGAAAAACGACCAAAATTTTGGGTAAAATTCGACTTTTTTAAAAAAAACGCTGTCATTTTATCAATTTTTGATTTTTTTCTTTATCGTAGTTTATTTTACAGACAATATTATCTAGTTTAACGAGATTTTTTCTTTTAAATTTCATCCACGTAGAAGGCTGGAATCACTGCAGCAGTGAACAAAATTTATACTTATTATTAAAATCTCCACAAAATATCTGATAATTTAACGTACATATGTCTAATGATAATTTTTTCATTGGATTTCCAAAACCGCTGTGCCTGCCTTACCAAAAGTTTAATCAGTTCTCTTAACCAGTTTAATATTTATCAAAACTTTTCGACATTTAATTTATTTATTACGGAAAATTTGCCTTTTGTTATGCTAACTGGTGAAATTATTTTTCAAAATTTCGGAAAACTTTCAATTATATAATTCTGCAGTCTACACACCTAATACTAATAACAAAAATTTATTACTAACGAATCTGTCGGTGGAAACTTGAGGACTCTATAATACAATCTGTTGGTGCTGGATACTAAATAATATAATTTTAACTTATTTTTTAATATTAACGCTTCTTATTTTAGGTTTTCAGGAAAATATAGAATAATGGATCTTTGTAATTTAAGCTTCTACCTATATTATTTGTTATATACTTACTATAATAACTTGATTCTGTTTCTTATATGGATAGCTGATACCCATTCGATAAAAATATATTATAGCAATGCAACTCTTACGTATTAATATTAATTTATATATTTTTCAAACAAATCATTAGAATTATTATGATGGCTTGTAATATAGTGTTAACTGAAACAGAATCATTTTAATACATATATTTAATTACATATTTTTATATGTAAACTTATGATTTACGATTTATGGCGCTTTGGTTCTTTAATATTATTTAAGCTGCAATTAATTTGAAGATTATTATGCACTTAATAATATGATTTTTTTTAAATGGTTAAAAAATGTATAAGAGGACTAAGTTTTGCTTATTATTTGCTACTGGCGGCTATCAAGTTAGTGATTATGCACCTTTTAATATTATATATTTAATGTTTCAATTATATTATATTTCTTTTATGTTTCTTGTTGTTCTAACTCTATCCATTCTTTATCTTATGGTGTCGGTGCTCCTTACTTTCTTCCAGAACGATTGAACTTTAAACCAGTATTGACAACACTTCCTGGTAACGTAACGGTAAAAGTTGGACAAACCGCCCAATTCAATTGCATTGCACTATCTGACCTGAATCCTTGCATAGATTGGATCTTCAGCGAAATTCCTATCAATAATGATACCGAGTATAATAGCACGAATAATGTAAAAGTGACGGTCAGTTCATTTCTTATTGGTTTTTGGCTTTTCTTTCAAAATGTGGCCAAAATCATCAATAGTAATAAAAATTATTTTATAAATATATTTTTACTAGTATGCTCGAAATATAAATTTTATAAATTTTAAGTAAATTTTGTATGAATTTAAATGATCGTTTTGGCCATATTTAGCTGGTTTCTATACGCTTGAGCTTGAATTCGCTTGTATGCTAATTTTACTATTCAAGATGCAATATTTGATTCATTATAATTTATGTACAATCTTTGTAGCCTTTGGTGAATGATCTTGAATCGTTAAGTAATCCAACGATATTGAGGCTTACAAATATCACAAAGGATATGGAAGGCTGGTATACTTGTATGGCAGCTAATGCTTTAGGAAGGACATATGGCAGCGCCTACTTGAAAGTTGTTGATGGTAAATTTATTTTATTAATCATCTGTACAAATAAAACAGCTGGCATTATTTAATATAAAATTATTATTTGTTGGCTAATATACCCATAATATGTACTTTGTCATAAAAGCAGAAAAATTACATAGATGTAGTTGACTTTTGTACCAAACAACCAATGCCATTTTAAACATAATGATTTCCATTCTTTTTACATTTTTTTGCAATATTTAATAGCTTATATTGTTTATATATTCTTTCCTTTGTATTTTACACTTTTCATAATTTTTTTTTCTCCAAGTTTAATATTTTTAACTTCCCGTAGGCAAGTTATAGTAATCGCAAAAAAATCGAAAATGAAAATTTGTATAATCTTTACGTTTCAAAACCTTCTAAACATTTTGGCATACCTTTAAAAAAATGGATGAATGTGTGAGTGTATGTATGTGTGTGTGTTGCGTGTATGTGTGTGTGTTGCGTGTATGTGTGTGTGTTCGGATACAAATTTTCGTCGACGATTTCAGTAACACGGATGAAGCGATTTGATTAATTAAAAAAACATTCGATTTGTATTGATAAGCAGACGTGCTGATTAGTTTTTGGCGAAGGAAGGTCTAGCCGTTCCGAAAATACAGGGAAAAAAGTGCCGAAAATGGTAACTCAGTTTTTAAGAGAACGGAACGTCCGATTTTAATAATTCAAAAAACTCTTTACTAGATGAAGAATTTTTATGAAGTCAGGTCTAGCGGTTTCGGAGATCTAATAAAAAAAGTAAAAAAAAATGCCATTTGGCGGTCAAAAATAATCATTAGACATATGCATATGCAATTCCTTGAGAGACTCGGGCTTCTTTGATAAACTTCTTTCGTTTATTTCATCCGTTACTGAAGAAATAAATTTTATATAATAATTGGAGTATTTTTATAATGTTGTTCTGCGACCAATCACAATGCTCGAAAATGACGTATGTTTTTAGCGCTAATTATGATTGGCTAGCTAATAAATGTTCTTCGTTTTTTTCGTTTTCTTTCGACCCTTTCGCATTGTCCATAAATATGGGGTGCGCGAAGGAAATTGTGGCAGTCGTCGGCCGTGGCCGGCGCCGGTGTCACCTGGGGTGGCACTGAAAGCCTCGGGGCGCCAGACCGGTCGCTCCCTTTGGAGCTGGACTGGACAGGAGCTCCGAGGCCTCCGCCGGAGACTCCCGGGGCACGCGGAGTCTCCGGGGCCTCGCGGAGACTCCCGGCTGCGGAGTCTCCCGGGCCTCGCGGAGTCTCCCGGGCCTCGCGGAGACTCCCGGGCCTCGCGGAGACTTCCGGCTGCGGAGACTCCCGGGCCACGCGGAGACTCTCGGGCCACGCGGAGACTCCAGGGCCTCGCGGAGACTCCCTGGGCACGCGGAGACTCCCGGCCGCGTAGATTCCGGGCCACGCGGAGACTCTGGGCGTCGGAAAAATCCAATTAGAATATCGTATGAATACAATTTGAATGTGCTTTCTCGCAGTACGATGTCTCCATGTCCGCGGAGTCCTCGTGGCCGGGAGTCTCCGCGTGGCCCGGAGTCTTCGCGTGCCCCGGGAGTCTCCGCGTGGCCCGGGAGTTTCCGCAGCCGGGAGTCCCCGCGAGGCCCGGGAGACTCCGCGTGGCCCTGAGTCTCCGCAGCCGGGAGTCTCCGCGAGGCCCGGGAGACTCCGCGAGGCCCGGGAGACTCCGCAAGGCCCGGGAGATTCCGCAACCGGGAGTCTCCGCTAGGCCCCGGGAGTCTCCGGAGGAGGCCTCGGAGCTCCTGTCCAGTCCAGCTCCAAAGGGAGCGACCGGTCTGGCGCCCCGAAGGCTTTCAGTGCCACCCCAGGTGACACCGGCGCCGGCCACGGCCGACGACTGCCACAATTTCCTTCGCGCACCCCATATTTATGGACAATGCGAAAGGGTCGAAAGAAAACGAAAAAAAACGAAGAACATTTATTAGCTAGCCAATCATAATTAGCGCTAAAAACATACGTCATTTTCGAGCATTGTGATTGGTCGCAGAACAACATTCATGTAGAATTATTTATTTAATTGTAAAAGAACATCTCATTGCTTATCTCAAGTATAATGGATAAATGAATTTTTGATGGTAATATTTTTATAAGGAGTTTTTAAAGTATATAAAGTTGCTATAGTTCGTTATAGCGTGTTAGATAATATTGTAGATCGTTTAATTATAAACACATTTCCCGAAATAAACATTCGTTTACATTAAATGGTCTAAAAGTTATTAAAGATGTAAAACACATTGGAGATCAATATGTTGCCTAAAGAAAAATGCGTAGAAACGATAACGATAATTTTTGAAAACAAAATATGAATGCATTTTATTAAATAAGGTATACATTAATGTATACCATCGCAAAGAAAATTTTATAAGCTGTACAAATCCATAATTCAATTATAAACAATTTATACAAAAATATTGTGTAAAAAATATTTTTTCAAAAAAGTGCACTTCTTTGACAACGTTAATAAATAGCTACTTGTGTTAAACGAAACAAATATATTTATGCATATATAAAATTCTTTATGCTATATAAAAGTTAATTACTTGGATTGATATTTTCCAATTAAATTTCAACTTTTTGTGCAATATTTTCATATTTTCAGTAACTTTAAACAGTTCATTTTTGGAAATATTAAAAACTGTCAAATTATTCTGTTGTTCTTAATTGTTCATAAAATCCTGCAAAAACACTGTTAACCAATTAAGCACACATAACTATATATATATATATATATATATATATATATATATTAATTGTTTAATATGAACAAAACAGCACTCAGATTTTTTTAACACAACTTTATTTTATGATTACAAGCGTTTCGAGACCAAGGTGTGCCTCATCATCAGTGTAATTTCAATAACAGTTACTTATTACTAAACATTCTTTAATATTTTATTTAAAACTGCATTTAACTTTTGAATATAAAACATCAACTATTCCTTGCATTGGCAAGTGACAATTGTTTCAATCAATGCTTGACACGGTACTAACTGACATGTGACATTTACAGAATTATTCGAAACAAAACTGAGTTATCTAGACGGAGACAGGATGGGTAACATTATAATGTAAATTGTTTCGAATATTTCTGTAAGTGTCACATGTCTTTTAGTACCGTGTCAAGCATTGACTGAAACAATTGTCACTTGTCAAAGCAATACAATGAACAGTTGGTGTTTTTTATATTCAAAAGTTAAATATAGTTTAAATAAAATATTAAAGAATGTATAGTATATAAGTAACTGTTTTTTGAAATTACACTGAAGATGAGGCACACCATGGTCTCGAAACGTTTGCAATGATTAAATAAAGTTGTGTTAAAAATCTGCTTTGTTCATCTTTAACATTCAACATTCGTTCCACTCATATCACAAAATTCTATATCTATATCTTTTTTTCAAGAATTTTTTTTGTATATCGAAAATAATTCAGATTTTAATTTTAATTCTGACTAAAATTCTAATATACTTTAAACAAATAATTTCAACTTTGCAATTCTGTTTATATAATTCTTATAAATATTAGACAATGTTACAATATTTATAAAAATCTATATGAAAACATTTAACATTCCTCGATCATTTCGTTACGGTACGGAAAGTTCCAGTAATTTGCCTTAAGGCACGATGCCATACACCACTAGATAATTATTTTTTTCCAGAGCTTCCAAGTGAGACAGAAGTGGCCCGTCCACAATCGCTCCTAGTTTACACCTTGGGCGGAGTTCTGTGCTCCATGGTAATTCTAGGCGTATTTACAGTTATATGCATATTTAACAAATTAAAACAAGAAAAGATTAAAAAGCACCAAGCCATCGAAAGAGCCGTAGTTGTTACTAACTGGACAAAGAAGATCATCATCGAAAAACAAGGTCTGCATGATACGAACGTGATCAATGTCAACGAACCTTTGGTAAATAGAACTAATATAATTAATTATTTTGTTGTTTATGTCTAAATTTCTACATTTTTCCAGCTTATGCCTGTGGTAAAAATTGAGAAACAGAAATCTGCACAATTGCAAATGAATAACGATGGTGGACCCCTATCAGAGTATGAATTGCCAATTGATTTGGAATGGGAATTCTGTAGAAGTAAACTGAAACTAGGAACTGTGTTGGGTGAAGGGCTTTTGGAAAAGTGGTAAAAGCTGAAGGTCATGGTCTGATTAAACCTGGTGTTAATACTGTTGTTGCTGTAAAAATGCTTAAAGGTAACTTTAACTATTTGAATATTTTAGTGACCTTCGTTTTTTTTTATTTATTCCAAGGATGAGCAACCCGCGGTCCGCCAAGCTTTTCTCAACGACAGATTATTTTTCTAGATATTTAATCAAATACGGCTGTAAAGGCTAATTTTGTCATCAGTCAAATTAAGTTAATAACTTACAGCGTAAGTTAATAACTTAGAGCGTAAGTTAATAACTTAGAGCGTAAGTTAGTAACTTAGAGCGTAAGTTAGTAACTTAGAGCGTAAGTTAGTAACTTAGAGCGTAAGTTAATAACTTAGAGCGTAAGTTAATAACTTAGAGCGTAAGTTAGAACTTAGAGCGTAAGTTAGTAACTTAGGGCGTAAGTTAGTAACTTAGAGCGTAAGTTAATAACTTAGAGCGTAAGTTAGTAACTTAGAGCGTAAGTTAGTAACTTAGAGCGTAAGTTAGTAACTTAGAGCGTAAGTTAGTAACTTAGAGCGTAAGTTAGTAACTTAGAGCGTAAGTTAGTAACTTAGAGCGTAAGTTAGTAACTTAGAGCGTAAGTTAATAACTTAGAGCGTAAGTTAATAACTTAGAGCGTAAGTTAAGAACTTAGAGCGTAAGTTAGTAACTTAGGGCGTAAGTTAGTAACTTAGAGCGTAAGTTAATAACTTAGAGCGTAAGTTAGTAACTTAGAGCGTAAGTTAGTAACTTAGAGCGTAAGTTAGTAACTTAGAGCGTAAGTTAGTAACTTAGAGCGTAAGTTAATAACTTAGAGCGTAAGTTAATAACTTAGAGCGTAAGTTAAGAACTTAGAGCGTTAAGTTAGTAACTTAGGGCGTAAGTTAGTAACTTAGAGCGTTAAGTTAATAACTTAGAGCGTAAGTTAGTAACTTAGAGCGTAAGTTAGTAACTTAGAGCGTAAGTTAATAACTTAGAGCGTAAGTTAATAACTTAGAGCGTAAGTTAAGAACTTAGAGCGTAAGTTAGTAACTTAGGCGTAAGTTAGTAACTTAGAGCGTAAGTTAATAACTTAGAGCGTAAGTTAGTAACTTAGAGCGTAAGTTAGTAACTTAGAGCGTAAGTTAATAACTTAGAGCGTAAGTTAATAACTTAGAGCGTAAGTTAGTAACTTAGAGCGTAAGTTAGTAACTTAGAGCGTAAGTTAGTAACTTAGAGCGTAAGTTAGTAACTTAGAGCGTAATTAGTAACTTAGAGCGTAAGTTAATCAGAGCGTAAGTTAATAACTTAGAGCGTAAGTTAGTAACTTAGAGCGTAAGTTAATAACTTAGAGCGTAAGTTAATAACTTAGAGCGTAAGTTAGAACTTAGAGAGTAAGTTAATACTAATACTCAGAGCGTAAGTTAATAACTTAGAGCGTAAGTAGTAACTTAGAGCGTAAGTTAATACTTAGAGCGTAAGTTAATAACTTAGAGCGTAAGTTAGTAACTTAGAGCGTAAGTTAGTAACTTAGAGCGTAAGTTAGTAACTTAATAACTCAGAGCGTAAGTTAATAACTTAGAGCGTAAGTTAGTAACTTAGAGAGTAAGTTAATAACTTAATAACTCAGAGCGTAAGTTAATAACTTAGAGCGTAAGTTAATAACTTAGAGCGTAAGTTAATAACTTAGAGCGTAAGTTAGTAACTTAGAGAGTAAGTTAATAACTAATAACTTAGAGCGTAAGTTAGTAACTTAGAGCGTAAGTTAGTAACTTAGAGCGTAAGTTAATAACTTAGAGCGTAAGTTAATAACTTAGAGCGTAAGTTAGTAACTTAGAGCGTTAAGTTAGTAACTTAGAGCGTAAGTTAATAACTTAATAACTCAGAGCGTTAAGTTAATAACTTAGAGCGTAAGTTAGTAACTTAGAGCGTAAGTTAATAACTTAGAGCGTAAGTTAGTAACTTAGAGCGTAAGTTAATAACTTAGAGCGTAAGTTAGTAACTTAGAGCGTAAGTTAGTAACTTAGAGCGTAAGTTAGTAACTTAGAGCGTAAGTTAGTAACTTAGAGCGTAAGTTAGTAACTTAGAGCGTAAGTTAGTAACTTAGAGCGTAAGTTATAACTTAGAGCGTAAGTTAATAACTTAGAGCGTAAGTTAATAACTTAGAGCGTAAGTTAGTAACTTAGAGCGTAAGTTAGTAACTTAGAGCGTAAGTTAGTAACTTAGAGCGTAAGTTAGTAACTTAGAGCGTAAGTTAATAACTTAATAACTCAGAGCGTAAGTTAATAACTTAGAGCGTAAGTTAGTAACTTAGAGCGTAAGTTAATAACTTAGAGCGTAAGTTAATAACTTAGAGCGTAAGTTAGTAACTTAGAGCGTAAGTTAGTAACTTAGAGCGTAAGTTAGTAACTTAGAGCGTAAGTTAGTAACTTAGAGCGTAAGTTAATAACTTAATAACTTAGAGCGTAAGTTAGTAACTTAGAGCGTAAGTTAGTAACTTAGAGCGTAAGTTAGTAACTTAGAGCGTAAGTTAGTAACTTAGAGCGTAAGTTAGTAACTTAGAGCGTAAGTTAGTAACTTAGAGCGTAAGTTAGTAACTTAGAGCGTAAGTTAGTAACTTAGAGCGTAAGTTAGTAACTTAGAGCGTAAGTTAATAACTTAGAGCGTAAGTTAATAACTTAGAGCGTAAGTTAGTAACTTAGAGCGTAAGTTAATAACTTAGAGCGTAAGTTAATAACTTAGAGCGTAAGTTAGTAACTTAGAGCGTAAGTTAGTAACTTAGAGCGTAAGTTAGTAACTTAGAGCGTAAGTTAGTAACTTAGAGCGTTAAGTTAGTAACTTAGAGCGTAAGTTATAACTTAGAGCGTTAAGTTAATAACTTAGAGCGTAAGTTAGTAACTTAGAGCGTAAGTTATTAACTTAGAGCGTTAAGTTAATAACTTAGAGCGTAAGTTATTAACTTAGAGCGTTAAGTTAATAACTTAGAGCGTAAGTTAATAACTTAGAGCGTAAGTTAGTAACTTAGAGCGTAAGTTAGTAACTTAGAGCGTAAGTTAATAACTTAATAACTTAGAGCGTAAGTTAATAACTTAGAGCGTAAGTTAGTAACTTAGAGCGTAAGTTAATAACTTAGAGCGTAAGTTAATAACTTAGAGCGTAAGTTAGTAACTTAGAGCGTAAGTTAGTAACTTAGAGCGTAAGTTAGTAACTTAGAGCGTAAGTTAGTAACTTACAGCGTAAGTTAGTAACTTAGAGCGTAAGTTAGTAACTTAGAGCGTAAGTTAGTAACTTAGAGCGTAAGTTAGTAACTTAGAGCGTAAGTTAGTAACTTAGAGCGTAAGTTAATAACTTAGAGCGTAAGTTAATAACTTAGAGCGTAAGTTAGTAACTTAGAGCGTAAGTTAGTAACTTAGAGCGTAAGTTAGTAACTTAGAGCGTAAGTTAGTAACTTAGAGCGTAAGTTAGTAACTTAGAGCGTAAGTTAGTAACTTAGAGCGTAAGTTAGTAACTTAGAGCGTAAGTTAATAACTTAGAGCGTAAGTTAATGTCTTACAGAGTAAATTCATATCTTACATTCGGTTACTTACCACGTTTTTTCTATATTTGCAGAAGGTCATACAGATGCCGAAATGATGGATTTAGTTTCTGAGATGGAAATGATGAAAATGATCGGAAAGCATATAAACATCATTAACTTACTTGGCTGTAGTACCCAAAATGGTCCTCTGTTCGTTGTTGTGGAATATGCTCCACATGGTAATTTGAGAGATTTCTTAAGGCAACACAGGTAATAATTTACCTAATTTAATAGATACACTAATTTCTTGTATGTCGTAGATTTATAATTTTTATGATATTTTTACTTCAGATCAAGTGTAGGATATGAATCGGCGATAGGAGATACCACGAAGGAAAAGAAAACTTTGACCCAAAAAGATTTGGTATCATTTGCTTACCAAATAGCACGTGGAATGGAATACTTAGCATCGAGAAGAGTAAGTTATTACTGTTAAAAAACAACTAACATTTTTATAGATTTTATAAGTTTTATCATTTATACTGAATATTTGCATGTTTGCATTTCTGTAGTAAATGAGTGATTATTATTTTATTTTTTCCAGTGTATCCATCGTGATTTAGCAGCCAGGAATGTACTGGTTAGTGACGATTATGTGATGAAAATAGCAGATTTCGGGTTAGCACGAGACATTCATTGTAGTGATTATTACCGCAAAACAACTGATGGCAGACTTCCAGTTAAATGGATGGCTCCAGAAGCACTTTTCCATCGAGTTTATACAACACAAAGCGATGTGTAAGTAATAAATGAAATTTCTGCGTATAAGAATGATTTTTCATCATTCCATTCTTTTTCCAGGTGGTCTTATGGCATATTGCTTTGGGAAATTATGACTTTAGGAGGAACTCCTTACCCATCAGTGCCTTCTGTTGAAAAATTGTTCCAGTTGCTACGATCAGGACATCGTATGGAAAAGCCGCCGTGTTGTTCGCTCGAAATGTAAGTGATTTATTTTTTATTATATTGCATTATTATATTTGCATGCTAATTTAAAATTATAATTTGTATTTATGTAAGAAATATGCGGATAACAAACACGCATGCGATTTGCTTTAACAAATTCAATATTTAGCAAACATAATAAATATTGAAACTCAGTTGTATAACCATTTAGTTTCGTTGGACTTCTTGGACTTCACTTTTATTTATATTGATTATCATTTTGCACAGCATAATAAATATTTGCTTTATGTTTGAAAGTGATTTTTTAGATATTAAATATGAATTTAGACTTGCACAAATGGACAAACAGCTGCTCAGTCAAATTGTCTGATATACGATTTGTTTATTTTTATTATTTTACAGACATTTACTTCTCATACTGAAATTTAAACTTTTTGTAATTTTTATTAAATAGAATTTGATGTCTTCTACCAACAATCCAAAATAATTGAAAAATGCATATTTATACTTATTATTACTTCGACGGCATCTACTTAATTGAGGTTTTTTACAAACATATTTCTAAGTAAAACATTATTTTTATGAATATAAAATTATTGCATTAAATTAAATTCAAGGCTATTTCGTGCGTCTTCGTGTAATTAATACTCAGATATAATTATTGATATCTTATGATACAAAATGCAATTCACTAGTTTTAGTGAATGCAGTACATTTGATTATATAAAATATAGAAATTAGTGCATTGTAGTGTAAATAGTAAGACCTGCATCAACATTTGTTTAGATAACTATTGCTATCTTTTATTTTTTTTAATATAAAACATGATAGTGATCAAAAAATTCTTAATAGTTTGAGTGCAAATATTGCGATATATACCTTGCAAAAAAAACTCATGTATATTTTGCTAAAAATGTACATGGTTTTCGGCGACATTTGGATATTTGTTTTTTAGTTATGAAATATACAAATATTTATTAGTATTTTATACATATATGTATGATATTATGAGACTACAAATGGTTTTTACCAATTTATATAATTATTGATGGTGATGATTGCAATAATGTAGACTTGGTGTAGACACATTTTTGTGTATGCGCCTTCAATTAGCAACTAACAATAACAAATTTGGCTTATTTACTAAAATGTACGTCTGCATCTCCTCATGGATCAGGTTTTAAACAAATTGACATCAATCCATACTAATGGCGAATAAATGAGTGAAATTTTATAAATAATTGAATTTCTATCGAATTCTCGATTTTTGGATTTCTACCAAATCCTAGAAAAATTCCTTCAAACTAAGGTGATCATAATTTTTTGTTTGAAATAATATAACAAATACTATTTAATAGTGAAGATCATTTTACTAATCAATTTTTGTTAATCAGAATTACTGAGCGCTAAACTTTTTATATTTTTCTGAACTATGGATCCTTTTTAGTAATACATTCTTTCAAGTACCAAAATTTGTGCAATTTTCTTCGTAATTAACTTTAGTAAGTACCTTTTTTTTGGTCTGCATATATTTATTGTCAATCAAAATTTACAATATTTTTTGAGACAATATGGTGGTCTTTTTGCCTTTATCGTTTGCGTTTATCTCCAATGAGTTATCTCCTTTGTGGTTCTATTTGAACTTGTCCAACTGATACTCATTACAGAAAGTATTCTTGTCGCAGAAGCATTTGTTCCAGATAGGCAAAAATAAAATTTTACATTCTAAATTGAAAGATTCCAAACCACCTTGGTATGAAATTGGTTTGGCTCATTTTTTTAGCCGATTTAGATTTATCCATACATCAATTTTCTTTTCCGAATCGTACAGTTTCATATAATTTTACGATATTTTATTAATAATCAACAACCTTTTCCAAAATTTGGGATATCAATACCAAATATTTCTTCTGGAAAATTTTAAAGCGCAATGTAGAAATCAGGGATTGTATCCAAGGGTTTTCACCATGCTTTGGTAGACAATTGTGATAAAAAAATTACATAGTGCACGAATTAGATCAATATTGCATGTCACGTAACAACATTAACAATTATGAACAAGTGATATGGATGGTGATCGAAAAATCAGAACCGACAATCAAATTCCAGTTACATGCTGATGCGAGAATGTTGGAGTTACCAGCCAACTGAGAGGCCCTTGTTTTCAGAGCTGGTCGATGATTTAGATCGAATTTTAACAGTTACGGTAAATGAAGAATATTTAGATTTAGGACTTCCCCAGTTGGACACACCGCCCAGCAGTGCTGAGCCAAGTGACAACGAAACTGAGCATTTTCCGATGCTCATAAATAAGACTTGTAATAGTCACGATTTCCAAGGAACCGCATTATTTGTAAATAGTTCTGATTGAATTTGAAAGAAGATTTTCAGAGTCAGAGATTTGTTTTATTGATAAATGATAGAATATAACACGACTATACTCTATTTTATGCACAATTCAAACTGAAATATCATGACTATATTTGCATATTTTTTTCACTAACAATAGAAAATTTAAAATTTATCATGTGTATCCAATGATGCTGATTAAACTTGCATAATATTAATATATACTGTGAGTGAAAATCACATGCATAAAGCATGGTCTAAAATTTATGTAATGATACACATAATTTTTTTTTATTTATTAACCATTTATTTTATGTTTTACACCAATTTTGTCATATATACCAAAAAGTCATAATTTCAGTTAATTTATTGTGCAAGCAAATTCACTATAATAGTAAATTAATAAAACAGTTTTTTATACAGGCATTTATCGAATTATTGATCACAAAAACAACTAAGTTATATAAAAAAAATATTATTATAGTTAATTAATAAAAGTTCCATTTGTTTGGTGTTCCAAGTTGGCTCTTCTTTAGCTTCCAATCTATTTAATTTTATTTCATTTTTTTATAATAAATATATAAATCATATTTTATAAATATGACTGTTTTAAGCCATTTACTCGTGTTCTTTAAATAATTTGTGCCTTGGGTAAGTGGTTAGAGCCATGGGATTTGAATCAGAGGCTCAAGGTTCCATACCAGCCCCGAGCAACCTGATGTCATGCAGTAGTGACATCGGTTTTCATTTAGAAATAAAGAACTTAGTTTACAAGTAAAAATTAACTTTGAATATTTTATTAATTAGGTTTTCAAACGTATGGAATTTAACCCAACATAGTTTCGATAGATGCTAGTATAAAAAACTATTTATTATTATTATAGTATATGCGTAAATATATACATTTTATTATCATTTTTGATATTTAATTTATTTAGTATTATTTTAGCATATTCAGAGTGATTTAAAATGATTCCAAATTTTCAAGAGAATTTTCAAGATTTTACGTGAGAAATATATATTAGAATTGTTTAAATAAGTGTATTTTTTACAATTATTTCAGTAAATCTGTCGTTATATTATATGTTGTAATAATTGTATATGTGAAATGATTGATTGAATATTCTAAAAATGTAAATCTAGTCTTTGAATGAATGATAACCATCGTTAAACAGCTTTTAATTTTATAATATTATACATTTATTAGTATTTTTTTAATTTAACTTGTTTTATTCAATCATAATTTTGTTAGAAATCATTATTAAGCAAAAATAATCATAGTTTATACAAAAAACAGTATTTTAGATATTTGTACGATATTTTTCATATTCTGCACTTTTAAGTTTTTTTGATAAAAAAAATGTGTTAAAAAGATTATATTATTTAAGATTATTTTTAAGCCTAATTATTTTTTCAGATATTTTTATAATGATTCTGTTGTATATATTATATATTTATTTATTGTTTTATATTTAAGTGTATTTTTAGTACTTTTAGTTTATTGCTATTTTAAATAATTACTATTTATAAGTTTGTTGTAAATAATAAAGGAAAATATGTTTAAGTGTATTTATATATTGAAATATATACCTAACTAATTATTAGTCATTTTTTTAATGAAATATATTATAATTAATGATGATGTTAATGAAATAATTAAAATAAGCTATTTGGTCGGAATCTAATAAGAATATGAGAATATGTCAGTGAGAATCTAATGGGAACCTAATAGGATCTTATAAGATTTTAATCATTTCAAATAAGAATATTAATTTGAATTATCTGCATTTTTTTCATTTTGTAAGAGATTTTTGCACTTGTTCTAGGACTTCTAAAAAATATTTGATAAGTGACCCCGCCAAAGCACGAATAGAAAATCTTAAAATAATGCAATTAATTCAAGATATATTTTTATTTCTACTTTAATCTAACAAAAAAGCTTTAATCTAATATTTTATAAAGGAGTTTTATTTAAGATTATTACACAACATTTACAAATTATTTATTCTAAGTGTATTGTATTATTTATACGATTCATGCATATAAGTTTTTTATTTAGTAATATGAGTATTTATACTTGTTATATTTATACAACGTGTTTACTTATATATTTCTTAAATTTACACAAAACTATTCAATTTTTTTCATATAAATAAAATCACAAATCGGTCAATTTTACCCATTTCTGTCCCTGTTCGCAAAGTTTTGGTATTAATATACTTAAGTATATATTATGTATTCCGATAAATTATTTTTCCATGAGTGCCTTTTTGAGATCATTTTTCAACTAAACATTTGCTCATTAAAGACAAAATAAGTGATTTATTTTTTATTGAGGAACACATCGTTCTCTTCTCGAATTTCGATCAGTTTCGCATCTTTCATAAGAGTTGCATTTTACGCCTCCGCAATAGGTACCTGTTGCGGTGTCTGAAATAAATAAAAATCTAATATAATAATAAAAAATAATATAAAACTAGTTGTAAATGTCATTTTGTTTTATGGCAGGTAGCCTGACTTTATCAATAAGAATTGAGATTCAACTATTTAGGTAAAATGTTGAGCTGTTCACTTTTGCTTTCACATCGATACGATTTCTAATGGCTGGCTTTTAAAGCTACTTACAATGTCTGTAATTGTATGTGTTAAATTAATTTGTTCAACACATTTCATTTCATCCGTTTCGAGTTCAAAAATGTATTTTAAATTTGGGCGTCAACTGTAATCAGTAGATACCTACGAAACATGGAACGCATACATAGATTCTGAATAGAATCGTTTAAGTGCATGGCGAAATTATAAACTTTGATGATTTTTTTTTAATTCAACCGCTTATCGTAGGCCTATAATATTTTAAACTTTTAAATCTATTGCCATACAAAGATTCATAAAAACACAAAAAATAATTTTCGGCATATAATTACGAAGAAACGGCTCGGTTGATCTTTACTAAAAGCTCTATTCTCAACGCTATTTCCAACCCGTATCTTTCGAAAAACTTTGGGGGCATCCATTAATCAGGTGAGTGATTTGTAAGAATTTTTTTATCCCCTCCTCCAACTTCGTGATACGTGGTAATAATTGAAATTACGTGTCCTTCCCTCACCTTTCTAGAATTTTCGCAGAAAAAAACGTAAATTTTTTGAAAAATTTTAGAAGTGAAAAATAAAATTGCGCAATTTTTTGTCGAACCCCCTCACTCTTTAAGGCTCACGTGATTAACGGACGGCCTCTGTTGAATTTTTAGAAACGATGCAAGAATATAACCTAAAACGTGGACGAAAAATTTTCACTTTTCTTTTACAAAGAAACGGCTCGGCCGATCGTCGCGCAAAACTGACCAACGCTACTCCTTATCCAAACGGCTTTCAAATTCTTTCACATAGTTTTTCCAAATTTGGTCTCAGAACGTCGACTATTAAACATAAATTTAGCAACTCGGTTTTTTTAGCGAAAATTTCTTCTTCGGTAAGGTCAATTAAGTCTTTATACTTACATACAGTATTCTTGTACCCATCGTTACCATCGTTTCTCAGGTTTGTGCAAGATTTCGTATGACAAATATTGTCACAGCAAAGCCAACCATTTCTGCAATCTCTGTCCGTTATACAAGTCGGTGTGCAAATTAATACTTTACTCGGCTGAGGACAACCTGAAAAATCGCAAACAAAACAAGTCTAATTGTAAGGTCTGGAGGTCAAGGATACCTGCTATTGCTTTTTGAAACGAGGCCACCAAACAGAGCTGTCGGTTTTTTCGACAGTCTTAATTGTTTTATGTTTGTTTAGATGCAAAAATACTTATTAACACTGAAGAGTAAACAACACGTGGATAATGGATATTTGTGGTATGAAGTTTTCGGGTTCTAAGAGACCCGGTTAAATGCGCAAAATTATAAAAAAATATATGTGATTTTTTTAACCAATGAGGCATTTCATTAATTGATTTATAGTCTAGTATTGCACCTGCCTATTCTAATATGTTTTATATCATCATTCCATATTAAAGATGAGTTATCTAGTTATTTTAAGAAGTTTGTTTCAATTCCATATGATTCATTATTATGACGGCAATATTTATATTCAAACCACGCCTTTCATACCAAGATAAGTTCTTAATTTAGTAAAGAATTATTATATCATTATATTAGTAAACAATGTAATCATTATCATATATAGAGTGCGTATGCTGTTTACATATATGAAGTCCCGTAAGTCTAATATAAATTGTTAGCATTTTGTTTTATAACTAGCACATTTATTTTATTAATTACACAAATGGCAAATTTTAATATTTTTGTGTCCTCCACTTATTAATTTTAGAATTATTTCGATTTTTTTCAGTCAGAATTATTCTAGTATGATAAATCACAGCCATCTTATAACAATTTAATATCTATAAACGTTTTCGTTCAATTTTTATGTTATATGAATCAATTTCGAGTAAAATCTAAATTAAAGTTGAATAATATTTATTGAAACTCACCACCTCTCATCAGTAATACTTCAGGAGTAATTATTGCCATCAGAAATAGTATAAGAATGCATCCTATAATAAAAATGATACTAGTCAAAAATTAAATAAATAAATAATTTAGAGTGGATCAAAACCTCATCATTTTAAGCATTTTAAGGCAAAAAAATCACTATTTTATTGATAATAATAATAATAGTATGAATTTTTTCCCAGTTTTAATTTTCTATGATCTAAGCTTATTAATATCAAACAGTATAACAAATAGTACAAACAATACATACAATAAATTATTAAATAAAAAATACAATAAATTACCAATTAAATTATCAATGTTACAAATTATTCATGCAATTGTTAACAATGAAAAGGCATAATTTTTATAAATTATGTTAACGAATGCAAATATTTTCTTGGTTTTTCTTGAACAACTTAATTATTTAGATACAAACTTTATATTAACACATTGATAATTAATAGAAGACAGCACAAATAAATATATATTCCATCAATATCACTGTTAAGAATTATGAAATTAAAATCCATGGTTGCACTGATACCCGAAATTTGGTCAGATAAAAATTTTTCCTAATAGCTTCACCATGCTTAATTTTTAAAATATTTTAACTCTTGTTTATACTTTATTGTTTATACAATATCAGAACAATTTATTGATATTTCAACTAGATTTAGTTATAATTATGCTTTACCGCGAGATTCCATGATAACTTTTTCAGAGCAAATCCAACCATGAAACAGTAGTCTATAATACTGAAATCGCACTAAATGTTTGATGTTCCTCAGTTATATTTATTTTTACCCACTTATAATCAGAACTAAACACATACACATATATATGGACAAGATTTGCAATGTTTGGAAAATTTTAATAATAATGTTCTCACTCACAACAGCCTATTAATAGATCCTTTAATAATATATGAATTGCGCAAATATATTTGGCAGGAATCCAATAAAATTATTAATATTAATAGACATATAATAATATGCATTACGATTACAAATCGTAATTATTGGATATTTCTTAGTTTTGATCACAACTTAAGCTATTACTCTTATTTTACTATCTCAACTTAAAGGCATTTTATACCTCTTGTTGATGATTTAAATGCTGTTTTTATATTTTTGTCCACAACTTTTATTTGGTAATTTTAATTTATAATAATTCGATTGATATTCAGTTTTAAACTATACTTATTTTTATAAAAACTTTCCAATATATGAACAAAATTTTCTTGACAACATATAAATATACAATATTCATACACAATTTGATAAGGTCTGTATGACTAAATTTTAAAGCAAATAAAAATTATGTTCAATAAATGCAAGTATTAATAGAGAACTATTTCAACTCTTCAACTTTCATTTTAAAAATATTTAGCAAAGATCCAATGAAATTAATAACATTGACCACAAAGATAATTATACAATTAAAATCTTAATAAACATTATACAATCATAATTCTTGCTTTCAAATTTTTATCCACAACTTATCATAATGAGAATTTACTAGCAATTTATAATAATTTAAATAAAATTCTGTGCTTTTTTATAAAACGTTTCAATAAGAATTATATATATGAATTAACTGTGTGACAACAATGTTTATATACAACTTCCTTAAATCTGATATAATAATTTGTATAAATAATTATTTTTTTAAATTAAAGCGAATAAAATTCAAAATCACTACGAAGAGATTAACAAAGAATTATCTGAGGACATTACTCTATCCACTTTTAATTATTTTTAAGTCCCTATTTTTAATGTATTTTAATTATTGAAATTATTTAGGGTAAAAGATTTTTTTTACATTTGGGATACGTCAGCAAACCTAAAAATTCAACTAAATTATATATGAGTGAATCCACAACATTTAGTTGCCAATAATCTAATCATATAATTAATTTTGTTTCTTCTATTATTTTAGATTATACTTTATTATTTTAGAGATTATTTAATATAATTTTAATTTCATATATTCATTTCTATTATTATATTTGTTTATATTTATGTCAAACATCATATGCGTTGTTTTTATAAATCATTACTAAATTTGCAAAAACTTTATCAATGAAGAATTTTTTTAGATTTGAAGGTCTATAATCCTAACTCGAGTTAATATTCTTGTTCTAAAATAATAAGCAAACAATTTGACGAGTAATTAATATTTTGAAAGCTTCCTAGAGAACGTACTAATTTTCTTAATAGGCCTAATTAAGATTTTCACACTTTTATATATGATACAATTTGTTTTAACAAAATTATCAAATAAACAGCACAATTTCATATTTGCACAAACGCTTTACGGATTTTTATAAAAGTTTATTTTGCATCTAGTAGGATATATATTTCATCAAAGAGATTGTATATATTTAGATAGTAATAATATATATGAACTCATTTTTTCCTGTTCCATTAATTATTATTTTTCATTGATATTAAATCCTTCAATCTCTTCTATTAAAGACATTAAATAAATTTTCTTCCTTTTTATGAGATTTACTATTAAACTTAGCTTAATGGAATAAAAGGATATGATCCTTTCCCGTAAGTTCACGTTTGCGCATACAAAAACCATAGCATATTTTTCAATTATTTTTATTATAAATATAATAAACACATTTTTCATGGTTACACATCTTTCCTTAAATAACAATATATATTTACAATAATTTAACTTCTAACACATTTTTCTCTTTTTGTGTGGCGATCTAATTCGCATTTTTCGAAGGAGTTGCATTTTACTCCAGCGCAGTATGTTCCGCTGCCACCAGCTGCAAATAAATTCAAAATTAAATAATTAATAATCGAATACGAATTTAAAAATGATAATATGGTGATGAAAAATATAAACAGCTAAAACTTTCACCTAAGAATCTATTTTTTTTATTAAATCTTAAATTTATATCATTTATCTTCACATACATGATGAAGATCCTTTGTATCCTTGGTCATTTCCAGCACGAAGGACAGTACATGATTTTGTGTTACACAAATTATTGCAGCAAATTGAGCCTAAACTGCAGTCAGTATCAGTTTTGCATTTTGGGCTGCATTGGGTTATTTTACTAGCCAATGGGCATGCTGAAATAATTAATAGAATAATAAAAATAGAATTTTAGTTAAAAATTATCAATAACGAATATTGCAGTATTATTATAGCAATTAACAAATACAAACCAATACAAAAATTAATATACACTTCAATAAGGCATAGTACTGAAAAACAAGTACTAATTTAAAATGCAACTACTTATATTAACACATCATGTTATAAATATAATAAGGGGTATAATTTATTTATTTATATTTTCATTTATGCAGATGCAAGAACAACATTAATTAATTAATACTTAATAATTAATAATAATTATGATCGTTTTTTTTTAAAAAAAAAATATTAATTTGTGTCTGTTGTAAAAGAACAGACACAAATTAATAATAATAATAGCTATTATTATATGTTTATATATTATTTTTAGGATTGCGGATGATAATACATAAATTAATAAGATTTCAGGTGATAATACATACATAAAAATTAAACGAAATTTTAGTATTTTATTTTGATTTTAATATTTAAAGATTTATTTTCTGGATAAATTTTCAAACGTAGTTTTTGTTACGTTTCGGTCTTTGTTGAATGATTGATTTAATAAATATTTAGTTTCTAAAAGTAAAGTGATTTCTTTTCATTTTAAATTAACTATATACATAAGTAAATAAAAAAATCTTTATGACCCATAGTTCTTGAAGAAATATAGGACATTCCACGTCCTCAAAACGTTGAATAAAATAATTGAAAAATCAAATAAATATTTTTTGAATGGTATAATTTATATAGAAAACCTGGCAACTGTCATAACTATATTTACTGTTAAAGTGAAAATTTATGACGATTTCTGTACTAATTTATGTAGAAAGTTAGTCTTAAAAATTTTATCTGATATATATACATATATACATATATACAATATATGTATATATAATATATATATATATATATATTTTATTATTAAATTTGATATAATACACTTACATCCTTGGCTCAATGATTCATGGATAACACAAAATAACACGATGACTGCAAACATACGACCTACACAAAACGTTTAGTTGATTACTATAATTGATATTAATAAATTATTAATATTAAAAATTCACTTACTTGCGACACTATACATTTTGAATATTTATTATAAATTATGTTTAAAAAAAATAAATATAGTTTATATTATGCGTGGCACTGATACGCCTTCTTATAAGATTCTAACTAAAGTGATAAACAATCACTTGCTCAAGCATTTATATATATATATATATATATATATATATATATATATATATGTACTATGCATATATAATATTACATGATTTGCATATTCTCTGATTTAAACATCTCTTATAAAATACATACGTGTGCAGACTACAGTATGTTTGTATATAAAAGCGCATTTTATTAAAGATTATCTAACTTCTTCTTTAACTCCAATAATTTTTGTTTTGAGAACTATGTAAATTGAACAAGATAATATTTTATTACAAGAAATAAATTATTTTAATTTAAAACTTTCCGAAGGAGAAGTTTGAAGCGATCGGCCGAGCAGTTTCTTAAGAATTATCATAAAAATTTTAAGTTTTTCGTTCACATTTTTGCAAATAATCCTGAATTAATTTTGTAAATTCGAAAGATTAAGATTAGTTGAGAATTGTGCTTATTAGTTTTTCTTTAGTTTATTTCCTAAACCATCATCATCTTAAAATAATTTATAAAATTGTTTGAATAATTAAAATTATTTAAATATTTAAAAAATAAACCGCACTTTTAGGACATATTATTATATAAATAAGGCAAATAACTTAGAATATAATTATATTTATTTTCTGTGTATCAAATCTCTTGCAAATAGCAGTTTGGGCATGTTTTTTTAATCTATATTCAACTATCCGAGGTGTATATAATAAATATATATATATATGATTAATTTTGTAAATATGAACACACTACACTCTTTTTTGCACTAATTTTACTAAATGATAAAATTTGAGACCATTGTCTCATCGACAGTGTAAGTTTAAATTTTCGATTATTATATTTTGTACAAAAATATAATAGTAATTATATATTAACAGGAAACAAATCTTAAAATTAATAACTATCTATTGATAGACAAATTTATGATGACGGTTTAATAATTTATCGTAGTAAACAGTGAGCAAGTTAAATCTTTTTAGCGGATGTTAAAATACTGCTGTTACTGATGTTAAAATATTTGAAAATTTATTCATTAGCCAAACTTAATTAAAATTATATTTTTATGAAATAAAATCAGGTGAAAATTTATCTAGTAGTTATAAAATAAATGTATTGAGCTACTTGAAAAATTTGTAAAAGCATTGAATGGTTAAAAACTTCTATATTTTAAAATAAAAAATCTATTATAACAATCCCTGATGACATTTGCCAATAATAATTCTACTTTTGTAAGCTATCTTTAATATATTTAAAAAATTATGTGAAACTTATTTCAAAAGACAATTATTTGTCACAAATAATGATGCATGTATATAATAATTTTACTTTTAATATAGTAAATTGTTGCTATTGTTTCATTAATTTTAAATTGTCATTTTTAATAAAGCAATTGAACAATTGTTAGAATATATTGTTTCCTATTAACTGTACTTATGTACAATGATATTCCAAGATTTAGGAAGTAAAGCTTATTCTTATTTTGTAATTTGAAAACAATCATCTTTACATTTTTTAATGAATTCATGGATGATCAAGTTTTACTCGAATTGTTATTGTTAAATTATTGTTTCTTATTATTTTGCCTACGGCGCTTTAGACCAATAGTTTTCAATAATTGAGCATTTTCATCATCATTCTCCATTTTAGGCTCCCATAACTTCAACTTTTTGGGTATGTAAAGTAAGCCCATAAGTGTTAATACTAAAAAAAAAACAAGAAAATATATATATATATATATATATATATATATATATATAATACTGAGTATTATATAAAGTATGTTGGTATACATACAATTCAATACCGTAGGAAATAGCACATAAAAATTAACAGTGGTAGATTTGAAATACAGGGCTTCCAAGAAATATAAAATTATTGTTAGTGCTAATGCACATCCGCCCATGCTCACAACCCTAGAAAGATAAAGGACAATTAGTTTCAACATATCGCAAATTTCAGTTTGCAGGAGTGCTTTACTAAAGAATGTTATTTATCATAGTTGATACACATACAGTTTCTCAGTATAAATTTCTTGAAACATTTATAATTGTTTACAAAAATTATAGAAATAAAGAAACTGAACGTAAAAAATTGAGCACTCACGGTCTGTAGTGAATATATAATGTGCAGTGGACTAGCGCAAGAGCTTTCAATAAACAGTACATACCAAGCATTCTTGAAATCGTGTAATCATCTGCAATAAATTAACAATTTTGTATATTCATCTTTATGAAATAGGCATTTCTGAATTACATTAGGACTTCCAAATAATACTGCAATGAAGATATATTTAAAACCTTCAAAAGTAAAAGATTAGAAGAGGTTCAAGATGTATGGAACAATATGAAGAAAATATTGCTACAATATCAATAATCAAGTTAATCTGAGATCATAATTATAAAGAGAAAGAAAAACACACAATCACTTCATTGATTAGATTGAGGTGCAACCATGGAAGTTTTATTAAGCATCTTCATAAAATACATTTTGTAGATAATGTGAATGACTCCATGTAAGAGATTATAAGACTCTGAATTGTAAAGAATGAGATAAGTCGAGACAAGTTTTTGTTTGGTAAAAGAAATGAAACCTAATTTTTAAGAAATATGAAGTCAGTGTAGTCCATGATTTTATGAAAACATGGTATATATGTACATGCATAATATATTGGAATCATTATCTTTTTACCGGCTATAAACTGATTTTGTGAATGATCGCCCAAAAAGGATCTCCTTTCTATATAACTCCTCACTGCTGTTCCCATATCCATAAATGCAACAAATGCTATCCATCCTCGAAAAGCATAAAGAAGTTTTCTCTCAAACATTTTGCGTTTTGAATACACCTCATGTGCCAATATTTTGGAATAAATCAATCATTTTCTTCTTTCGGGGCGACAAGTTATTTATAAATCATGTTTATTTTTAAATAAAATCTTTAAACAAAACATACTATCGTTGAATGTGATTATGAAAACGAAGTAATTCACATAATTAATGGATATACAAAAGTTGTTTTGGATGTTTTGTTTATATTTAAATTTTAAATAATTTAAATTATTTATTTAAGACGGTGTCATGTCAGTCGAAGTGACATTTAGCGCCGCACTTCAGGTTTAGGTTTCTCAAAGGTTTCATAAAAATGAACATATGATATTTTTATAGCTTTTTAAACAATTTTATTTATATAAAGCCCTAAATTCTATATATTAATATAGAATATTTTCTCTACTTCTCAAGAATTTTGCAATCATTTTAACCTTTGTATAAAAATGTTAATTGAAATGAAATGATTTGACATCATCTTTGACATCTGTGCTGACAACCTATTAATTTCATAAAAATAACAGTTAACAAAATGATATGAAGATAAACAATTTTATTTATATATATACTTAGCTTATTAATAAATTATTAATAAATATTTTGTCTACTTAACTAGAATATTGAAAAATTATTTCATTAAACTTTATTAAAATTTTAATAAGTACTTCTCAATAAATAATGTCAAATCTGCAGGCAATTTAAATTCCTTTATTAAAGCAATATATATATATATATATATATGTATTTATTAAGATTATTTTATAAGAAAATACTAAACTTGGCAGAGATATTTTATGTCTACCATTGTCATGTTTGTCTATATTTGTTTTTATAAAACATTAATGTGAGGCAATGTAAACTTTAATTGCTCTGTTCATAACTTTTTGTTACAAATGGTAATAGATAAAAGCAAAAGCATTAAGTTTATTTAAGGCATTTAATACATTATGTTATATATTCATTTTTCACATGTGATAATACATAATCATTTGTATTCTTAATTATTAAGGATTTCTTTATGAATAAAATTATCACAATATTCAAGTAACTCCTTCGTGCTTTGGTACTCAGCTAATGCAAGAGCATCTTGCAGTTCCAACCACTTATATGCTTGATGTTCTTCAGATAATATTATACCCTTGTCCTTTGCAATCATTTCTGCTAGCCAATAAACAACAATCTTTGGTTTACCGTTGGCTTCATATGATACAATTTTGGTACAATCTTTAAATATTTTAATATCGCTTTTGCAAAGACCTGTTTCCTCTAATGTTTCTCGAAGTGCCGCATCAAATTCATTTTCGTTGCGTTTTAAATGGCCTTTTGGTGGACTCCAATGAAAATTTGCGTAAGAAGCTTGTAGTAGTAGATATTGAATTGTGTCAGATAGTCGTCGGAAAACAACAAATCCTGCTGCTTTTCGTACCATGTTTTTAATAACTTATATTTATATTAATTACTTATTTGAATTTGTATTTTATTGGTTATATTTATAAAGTGTGAAATGAAAGTAAAGTAAATATCACTTTATTATTATTTAAAAAATTAACTTCAAAATTTAGAGAGAGAGTTTTATCAAAATTAGTATTAACAAATTTTATTTTGTATAATTTTATCTGCAAATTATTTTTGATTAACACTTTAAAATCTCTTATCTCATTTCTATGCTTATTTATCTGTATCATTTTGTCTTATCTTTTCAAGATTATGGTTCGAACTTCGAACATATATATATATGTATATATATATATATATCGCTAACAATATATATATATATATATATATATATATATATATATATAATATGTATTAAGATAATTTTATAAGAAAATACTAAACTTGGCACAGATACTTTACGACTACCATTGTCATGATTGTCTATATTTGTTTTTATAAAACATTAGTGTGATGCAACGTAAACTTTAATTGCTCTTTTCATAAATTTTTGTTATGAATGGTTAATAGATAAAAACCAAAGCTTTAAGTTTATTCAAGGCATTTAATACATGATGATATATATTCATTTTCCACATTTGATAATACATATTCATTCGTATTCCTAATTATTAAGGATTTCTTTATGGATAAAATTATCACAATATTCAAGTAACCCCTTCATGTTTTGGTACTCAGCCAATGCAAGAGCATCTCGCAGTTCCAGCCACTTATATGCTTGATGTTCTTCAGATAATATTATACCCTTGTCCTTTGCAATCATTTCTGCTAGCCAATAAATAACAATCTTTGGCTTTCCGTTGGCTTCATATGATAAAGTTTTGGTACAATCTTTAAATATTTTAATATCGCTTTCGCAAAGACCTGTTTCCTCTAATGTTTCTCGAAGTGCCGAATCAAATTCATTTTCGTTGGGTTCTACATGGCCTTTTGGTGGACTCCAATGAAAATTTGCATAAGAAGCTTGTAGCAGTAGATATTGAATTGTGTCAGATAGTCGTCGGAAAACAACAAATCCTGCTGCTTTTACTACCATGTTTTTAATAAGTTATATTTATATTAATTACTTATTTGAATTTGTACTTTATTGGTTACATCTAAGTGTGAAATAAAAGTAAAGTAAATATCACTTTATTATTATTTAAACTCATACATATGCATAGAGAGAGAAAGAGAGAGTTTTATCAAAATTAATATTAACAAATTTTATTTTGTATAATTATATCTGCTAGTTATTTTTGATTGACACTTTGAAATCTCTTTAATCTTCTCAAGATTATGGTTAGAACGGTTAGAACATTTTTTTCTGTCAACTGTCACTTATAAGTACGACGGTGCTGCTTGTAAGAAACGTGGCGACAAACAGAAACTAGTATCATCTGTCAAAAAAAATTGTGCCGAAGTCTCGTTTTCAAATCACACGTAAACAAAATTGTGCAAAGTAGTTTTATTATGTCAAGTTTAAAATTAGAATCTGTTTACGCGCTACCTTTTTATGTATTACAAATACCAAACATAAAAATAAAAGCACCATCATGGTTTCACAAACCTTCGGCGATGTTTATGTTCTCCTTAATTTTGTTATCTTATTTTCTGGTCACAGGAGGTTAGTTGTAATTATCACAAGTTAAGCTTTAGATTTTTAATACAGTAAATAATTGAAATTTATTTTTGCAGGAATTATTTATGATGTAATTGTTGAGCCCCCAAGTGTAGGTTCGACAACTGATGAGCATGGACATTCGAGACCGGTAAATTTTATATATTGAAATATTGTAATTTTAACACTATCTATAAATTATTCTTAATACAAATATTTATATTTAACTTTTCAGGTTGCATTTATGACATATCGTGTAAATGGACAATATATTATGGAGGGTCTGGCCTCCAGCTTTCTTTTCACTGTGGGTGGTTTAGGATTCATAATTTTAGATCAAACACAAAATTATACAACCCCGAAGCTAAATAGGCTTCTTTTGATTGGCACAGGTTTTATCTGTGTTTTGGTAGCATTTTTCACAACATGGATCTTCATGAGGATGAAATTGCCAGGATATTTACATACATAGAATACTTTACGTTAAGTGCGTAATATTGATTGTGGTAGCCATAAGAGGTATTTAGCGAACTGCCAAAATGATCTTGAAACATCTTAAATTTATTGCATGTCTAATATTCTAGTTGAATCATTGATTAAAAGACTTTATTTTGTAAAATGCTTATTTCTATATTTTATCACATTTTTTTGTATTTCATTGAAAAACTATAATAGGGTTTAAAATAAAATTTAAAATATTTCTAGCTGAAATTATGAGATATTTTATATAACTATTTGAAAAATTAATTGATTTAGTTGTAGTTAATTCTCCTTTAACCCCATAGCACGTTAAACATGATATTTCTTCTAAATTAATAACTAAATATTCATTTGGCAAATTTGTAAATGGGTTAATTTGCATAGTTCCTTTGAAATTGATTTTATCATTTATTTGTAAAATTTGAGTTAAATTTGAGAAATCGTGCCCTGCTCTTAAAATAATTTGTGGTCCGGCAGTTAATATTCCAGATTGAAGACTTATAGTAATTTCATGCTCGTACCTTTAAATATGTTTCAAATTACACATAATGTTTAATAATTTTATTATACAGCTTACTACATGAATTTTACTCACCTATTCCATTGACTTATATCACATTTTCTGTATTCTATTACTTTATTGTTGATCATTATGCAATCTTTATCTGTGCAAGTAAATTTTAATTTTTGTCCCAAAAAACATTTTAAATATTCACTCACTGATTCGGGAAACATATTTAATAATTGGGACCAAATGTTTTCAATTCTACTTAGCCGGATTTTTGTGACATGGCCATCCCATTTGATATGTAAACCATTCAAATGCAAGCAATCAACTTGATTAGCAATGTGGTTGGTATTCTTTTCATGTGCATTCAAACACATGTGTTGATACTCTTCCCATGTTAAATATTGCTCAAATTTTACATTATTGTTATACAAAGCTTTCCCATTCACATGCATGGATATATTGTAAAACTTCGAAGATAAATACAATATAGAAACAATAACAAGTATCGCCTGTAATAAAATTAGTAAGATAAATTTTCATAAAACAATTTATATATCTTACATGAACTTATTATTACCTGCACTTTAAATGTAAAATTATGTGATATTTTTTTTGTTGTAGCAAATTTTGTTTTAATAAGCACTATCCCAGTTATTATTCCCACAGCAAGAGACATTTTAAGTGTAATATCTTGGATATTTAAAAAGTTGTCTATAGCTAACAAAGGTAAGATTATTCCAAGTAATTGACAAACACGCCAAAAATATGTTATAGTCATAAAAATTATCGCTGTCCGTAATATGCCATTTAATGTAATGAATTCTGCATCTAATATAAATAATTGTAACCAACTCAGCGTTATACAATGTGGTAAAAGATAAAAATAAAGCCCATGCCAATTTTTAATTTTTGATAAAATAACTAGAATACCAGGAATTATAGCATATAAAATTGCTTTGCAATTTAGATTGAATTCTAATTTGCTTCCTAAAATGGTATTTGCGGAATTATTAATATCTAGTTTATACTTTGTCCAACCTTTATTCATAAATGAATCATTTATATAGGGATATCTAGCAAACACATTAAGTATACAAGAGGATATCATTAAACTACTTGTATAACTATTGTGAGAAATGGTTGAAACATGATTTACAAAAGTAGTAATGGACAAATACAATGAAAGAATTGCAATTTCAGCAAGAGGAATCCAAAATTTAAAGATAAATGGATTTAATGCTAAATGAATTATGAATGCAGCAAAAAACATTTTTTGGTGAGCAGTATTCTTTGCAAGAAAGTCATGCTGGTTTTTTTCAGAATCTAAAAGACCATCACTATGATAATGAAATAAATCTGCCCAAATAGTATAATGTTTATACTCTTTATGAATTTCAAATATATGGAAGGAAGTTACTGTCATAATAATAAAACTTATATAATATATTGCTAAAGGTATAATATATGAGAAATGACTAGTGTTTAAAAATAAATATAGAAACATGAATATATGAAAATAAATATTGGAGAATATTGATAAAGACCCATTTGCAATGAACAAAATAGTTTCATTAATCGTGTTTACTGAAACGTGTGATAAAATATTACAATGCGTCTTCGAAATACACAGGCATGTGTTTAACTGAAGAGATTTTGTTATAGATGGTATATTTCCATCTGCAAAAGCAAGAGCAGCTGAGAGTAAATTTGATTCTTTCAATAACATATCTGGCACTTTTTGATAGTCTGAAAAAAAGTATTTTTCAATTACTTAATTTTGTATCAATTGTAAAATTACATACCAATACATTCATGAGTGTTTTCATCCTTAATTCTTGATTTCAAATAATGGGTTTTGATCATATGTTTATTTAAGTCACATAATTGTACATGGTCACTTTCTTTGCATAAACTGAAAAAGTTCCAACATTTTTGTATTACAAATTTTAATAACATATGCAAACTCAGTGCTAGTAAAATGTATCTCAAACTTGCTTAAAGCTGAAATTATATGCTCAATAAGTAAATATACCTTGAGAATATTTCTCTTGCTGTTTTACGGGCCAATTTTTCTTTATGTGTCATATTGAGACAGGTTTTAATATCATTTATGTTATCTTCTGTTACACCAAAGCCTTTGCGATGGCATGTTTCTAACAAAGCTAAAGCTTCTTCATTACCTTGTTCTGCTGAACGCAATAACCAATGTATGGCTTGTCTATAATTTGCCTCACGTATTGCTTTTATGTCTGGTGAATTAAAATTATTTATAAGATATATCCTATCCTATTCTATATCGTACTTTGGCTATATATGTACTTCAGCACATTATATTGAATTGAAAATGTTCAGTCATTAAGATAAAAAGTTAATTCTTTTAAATTTATAATGATTAAAAATGTGCATAAATGTATAATAAATAATTTATTTATCAATAGTCCCTGAAGAAGGCAAAATAAGTAAAGTTTTTTTTCTTAAAGCAGGGTTTTAGTTATTATAGTTTTGTAATTTAAACAAACCACATTCATCTCCCAACAATCGTTTGGCAATTTCAAGCTGTGAATCCTTGCATCCATTTTCAGCTAACTGGTACCTCAATTTGTATAGAGAAGTGTCTATAAAGGCAATGAATTTCTAATTTTATAAATATGGGTAATATTCTTAACAAATTGCTCAAACAATTATCATTCTACTTTATAAGTTTTAACTTTTATCTTTGAAAATATAAGGCAGCGAAGACGTACCCGGTATTTGCCATTGCTTACGGGGAGTTTTTGGCGTTTTTGTTGGAAATTTCGGTGTTTTAATGTGACCTGCCATAATATTCTATTTATTAATAATTAAATTTTCTTTAAACTTAAAACAATTAGTTTTTATAGGTTATATTGGTTGTCATTTCTGGCACAAAGTCTAGGGTCTTTAGTTAGTCTTCTAGGGTCTTGAAAGAAATGGCGTAAAGCTGTCAAACACACAGGATTTAATACCCTTCTTTATATACTCTTCTTTTATCTACGGTCGTAAACGTCTGTTATGACAGTATATTTATTGAAGTTTTATTCAAGTGAACATTTGTATTAACTCCGTCTTGCACAATAGCCTTCTTTTATTTCTTTGTGAGTTTTTGTTTTATTTATTAAATATGTCAAAAATTTAAATTAGTAGTATTAAATTTCGGTTTAAAATGCTATAGCTGTTAAATTTAAACGGTGTTGCATTCAATCTCAAATCCAGTGATATATTCCCACATGGATCACATGAAAAATTTACAATGTACAATTCAATAAATTGTAAATGCCATTGTCCTGAAGTAAATGTTCAACATTTGAAGTTATGAAATCATTTTACAATAAATTATGGCGCAACATGGAGCTGCTCTGCAGTCTTACAACCAAGAACTTGTGAAAAGTATGAAGAGATAATATTTTAAGCAATTTATTTTGACAGATTTTAAAACATATTTGTTTTAGATTTGGAAGATCTTATTAAGAAGCGCAATGACCTGCAATGCATAATTGAAAAACAAGAAGAGGAAAAATGCAGGGTACTTTTAGAATACTATTGAATATTGTAGAAAATAATACATGTGTTATAATATAAAATTCATATTTTGATGAGTAAAGTAAAGAATTTTTGTATTTATCATCATGCTTATATATTTAATTTAAATATAAAATAAATGAGGTTTTGCAACCTGTTCATATCTTTTCAGGTGCAGAAAGAAATTGAAAGATTATCCTATAAACTTGTTCAACTAAATGAAAGTCTAGCTCAAAGAATTGCAGCACGTGAGGACTATGATAGACTAATTGCTGAAACTGAAGCAGGATATGTTAAGGTAATATGTTTTATGTGATATACACAAATCTATCACAGTTAAATTCTTCTTTCAACGAAATTCTGCTTCAACAATTTCTATTCATTGAAATAATATAATGCTCATATGAATATATAATACAAAATTCATATTCTTTTCGTGTGAAGGATGTTACTTAACTATACGTGTCTTTATAGATTCTAGAAAGTTCACAAGTTCTTCTGAGTTTAGTAAAGAGAGAAGCTTCTTGTCTGGATCAGAATCTTTCGAAACCATCTTGTGGAGGAAATACACCTTGTCCACCACCAAGTTGTCCTCCTCCACCACCCTGTCCTGCTAAAGCAGCTTGTTCAAGTCACAATTACAAATATGCTTGTTAATCAGATTTCATATTTTAACTGGGTATGATTAGTTGTAATACATTGTCATTATGTTTAAATTTTACTGTATTTTGTATTGAATATCACTGCTGATTATGTCTAACTTTTATTGTTTTAATTATTTAAATATTAATAGTTTTGTACCAAAACCTTCTATATCTTTTTTATACTATTATTTGTAATAGGATTATTTTTTATATAAATGTTCTAAAACTATTAGAAAAATTGGTTATATGTATTCAATATTAACTTAGTCATCATTTTGAATTTATTACTTTCTACTTCTATTTCAGAAACTATCAAACAAAAATCATGTTTGCTTTAAATATTCAGTCCTGATTTATTTAATTTAAAGAGAAGTCAGTGTATCACACTATCATTATAAATTTAGCAATATAGTAATATGCCAATGACAAATTTTCAGTATGTAATAACTGTTTATTGTTAAGCATTTCCTGCAGCTCTAGCATCTGTCCATGCCACTATTAACTTCTCAGGATCTCCAAAACCATGAGCTGTAAGTGTATATCGATTCGATCCAGTAAAATGACTGTGACTAGTTAAGAACTCTCCATTATGCAAAGGCTCAATTCCAGTTTTATAAGCCGCAATTGCAATAAATATGTCATCAAACCTAAAAGCATGATTATTGAAAAGGTAGAGAAAAATCTTTTTGAAATGATTTGTTTCATGAAGAACTTGCCTAAAATGTTTTACATAATAAAAGGCATAATATAACACATGCAAAGCTTCATTTGATAGTACTACACTTCCAGCTGTAACATAACGAGGATATTTATTCCAAGGATATTCCTACAATAAATAAACATATTTTAGTTCACGTCATGCTTTATTCATTTTTATTTCTACACTAATTATACCTTTAGTGATATATACCACTTGCTACCAAAATCACGGAGGGGATATGTATCATAAACAAAACCTGCATATAGTTTGGCATCGGCTGGAAGTTCATAATCAACTAACTGTCTCTTAGATCTATTTAAATCTGTTGAAGATGCGTTTGTTAACAATTTTCTTTGATGGACTAGCATTCTCAAAGTTTCATCAGTTCTTTTCAAATATTCTGGATAATATACAGGATTTCTGATAAAGCTTAATAAATTTTTTGTTGATGCATACATATCATCATCCATAAATATATAAAACTGAGAATATGGACAATATTCAACAGCCCATCTATATGCCATAGCTGTTTTAATCGTGTTGTTGAAATATGAATCAATAAAATTTGCTTGCACTATGTCATTAAATTTTTCACTCTCTTTATTTATATTTTCTTGCAATATTTCATCATGCAAACTGATGCCTAGCATAAACACAGTTTTTATGATAACATCCGAGAAACGATTTTCATATCCCCAAGTACTTCTTATAGCAACTCTTCTTTCAAAGTGCGGCATAGCTGATTTAACAATATACACAATTCTTGGTTTGATAAAGCCATCATTTTTCTTACATTTATCTTTATTAATTATATTGAATGTGTAGCTATAATTATTGATAGGCTCAACTGAAGGTTTACCATTCCTTAGCTCTTCAGCAAATAATTCTATATTTCCTACTAAAGGATAATCAAAATCTGTTTCGAAGTCTCGTTCAAATAATCGAGTTACTAAGTTTAGATATAGCACAATAATTAATATTGTTATAAAAATAATACTTTTCCTTTTTAAAAGGTACAAAAATCCCATTGTGAGGTTAATTTATTAAAACAATTTTCACCCAATTACCATTATCGAAAAGTAGAAATTATTCTTGTAAATATATATTCTAAAAAATCACGTTCATAATACTGCGTTGCTGTCACCATTGTTTAAACCTTTGATCACATTACTATTAAAATAAATAAAAAATATCTTAGGAGCTGATATGGAGTAAGCTTTTGACAACTATCACAACTGTCACTTGTGGCAAGAAACAGTGATGCCAATTGGTAGCACTGATTTGTAACGGTTTTATTTGTTTCATTCGGTCTTCGGTCATACTGCTTGGGCTTGGCACGAATCCACATGAATCGAGGAAGAAGAGCAAGAGAGCGAGCGAGATAATCTATTTCGCATATCAGCTGCTGGCGCTGTCGTTGACGTCGGCCATTTTATATCATATACTTAATTTATCTTGTTATTTACGAATGTATTTTAAAGTCGGTGCTGTTTAGTCTCTAATTAAATTTTGTGCAAAACGTGATGAAAAAATTGTTGTGCAGTGGTTATTCTAATAGAGTATTATTTTAAACAGTATATCCTTATATACATTTCTTTTATATTGCAAGGTAGGTTAGACATTTTAAATTACTATATAATGAGTGCGTCATAATTGAGATAATTTAGAAACATTATCCGTTGTTGTTAATTCTGTGCGAAAAAATATTCTTTCATGAGAATGCAAAACTATTTGTAACAATGAATCCAAATGGATACATGACACTTCAATTTTTTATGAAATGTTATCTATGACAGCTTGCTTTCTTTGTGCTTTATTAGTTTATTTCAAGGAGATTGTTCTAATGAATTTTACAAATATATATATATAATCCATATATAAATATACGTATATAAACATGAAAATAAAAAGAGCGTAAGCTGTATCTGCGTATTATAAAAAATAGCAATTTATATAAATATTTTTTATCATATTTCCGCCCCTTTTCTGAGTCATTTATTTTGGTTTTTACTTATTTTATTTTTGCTTGCATTTTAGGAAAAATGTATTGCTTGCATTTGTATCAAAATAATTTTTCCTTATGTTATATTTATCAATGACCTGGTTATATCTTTTGCTTTTTGCAATGTGATAAGATACAGTTTTATATTAAGTAAATATATATCGTAATTTTTTGGGCTTACAATAGTTTATATAACTATTATAATTGTCACGCGCATGATAATTTATAAATGTTTATTAACACACAATAGGAGAATTAGTATTAAACGGTTAAATTGAATACTTAAGTATAACTATTTCGCATTTAGCTTTCAAAACTTTCACTATTACCCAAAATATTGTGTTCTGTGTATATTCTTTTACTAATAGACACCCAAGAGAATGTTTATATTTTTATTTTATTAAACAAGGCATAATCTATCAAGCGTGAGAATTCTAAGGATTTTTTTTATATTATTTTGACTTATCTATTTAAATGCTTTTGATTTTGGGATTATGATCTTGTCAGTTATATCAAAACAAAATTAACTTTACTACTAACGGAAGATCATATTATTATCATTGGTATTTGTTTTAAAAGCGAGCTATTGTATAAGAGTACCACATTTGTTCCTCAATTGCCATCTTTTAATTATAAATAATTTTTATTCTCAAACTTTTGCTCCCATGTTTTCGTGTCCTGTGCCCCAACTTTCAATTCCCTGTACTTTTTTCGTGGTTCAATTCGTCATTCAACTGCATTCATGTTCGCCCTTGCCCTTTGGTATTCTATTTTGTCTTCAATGGTATTGTGCAGAGAGCTTTTCTTTCAAAAATTTGGTAAAGTTGGAGTTGTCTTTTCAAAATCCCCCATCGCAATCATCAGGGTGCTATATTTGTTGCCAGTCCATTTCTGTCGTCCTTTCATAGAGACCATGTCTCTAATCCGTAGAGAGACATGCTTTTTCTGCAGGGCTTAACTCAGTTTGTTTATCAGTTGTGTCTTCCTTTCTGAGAAAACCGATTTGACGCTGGCCCTGATCTTTCACGCCTGGATGCCTGTATTTATTTAAGATGCTACCAAATACTTGGTGTGATATTCTCTTACCATATTTAATTTTATGGATATTGATGTTATTATCAACTATTCCGATCATCTTTTGGTTGCGCGATTTTGTTCATCATATTTTCTAATTCGGTTTCA